CTGGATGAGTTCTAGAGTTCTGTTTTGGCTGAGGTGGCCAGACAAGGGGTGGTCATGTTTGAACCTCAAGACATGAAGGTGAAGGTCATTAGAGTCCAGTACATAGATTCTTCCATCTAGGCAGAGGAAGCCAGTGTCATCAACTGACCACTGGGAATCTGATGTATCTGAGAACCAGACTTGGGTGACTGGGTCTGAGGGTAGAGCTGAGAGGATATCATTGCATAACTTCTCCATGTCCATCAGTGCAACAACACATAGGACCAGGTATTCAAGGTAGGTGGCACACAGGGAGGTGGCTAGTTGTTCCTGTGTGAAGACTGGTCTGAGATTCTGTGGGTTGACCCAGGCATAGTCGCTATCCCCCTCTTTGGGGTAGACATCCCATTGTCTAGTTAGGGTGTCAGGCTTAGCACCGAGTTTACTGGGTCTGAAGCAGATAACCATATTGAACTGTGACAAAAATTCAGACCAGCATGCCTGGCACCAGGTTAATACCTTTGAGGTGGAGAAGTACTCTGGGTTCTTGTGATTGGTGACAACATCAACTGGTACTGCAGATCCTTCTAAGTAATGCCACCACATCCAGAATGCCTCAAAGATCATGAGTAGTTCCATATCATGGGTGTCATAATTTAACTCCAGAGCTGTTAAGGTGTGAGAGTAGAATGCAACCAGCCAGATTTGACCATCACCACCAGTGATGGCCAAAATACCAGCTATGGCATAGTCAGATGTATCAATCTTGACAGTAATAGGAGCATCTGGGGAAAAATGAGTTAGGACTGGGGCAGTGGTGAAGGCCTGCTTGAGTTTGTTGAAAGACCAGCAGCACTCCTCAGAAATGTTCCAGGGAGCACCTTTGCATGTCAACCAGGTGAGAGGTACCACTAAGTCCAAGTAGTTGAAAATGAACCAGTGATAGAAATTGGTGAAGCCCAGGAGGGACTGAATGTCCTTTACCTTCTGGGGCTCAGGCCAGTTGCAGATAGCTTTGACTTTTGCTGAAGACATGGTAAGGCTGGTTGGGGACAAGTGGTAGCCCAAATATTCCACAGAGTCTGAGTGGAATTCACACTTCTCTGGTTTGGCATACAGACCATGTAACCAGAGCCAGCAAAGAACCTCCTGGATGTGCTGCTTGTGAGAAGACTCATCTCCAGAATAGATTAAGATGTCATCAAGGTAGACAATGATGCAGACTTCTAGCATATCTGCAAAGATTGAATTGATGAACCACTGGAAGGTGGCTGGGGCATTGGTAAGACCAAAAGGCATCACCAACCATTCATAAGACCCATAGCATGTTCTAAAGGCTGTTTTCCACTCATCACCAGGTGTGATCTGGACAAGGTGGTATGCATGCCTCAAGTCGATTTTAGTGTGGATTTTGGCATGACTAGGGGAGTCTAGTAGGTCAGATATTAGTGGTAGGGGGTACTGGTCTTTCTTGGTGAGTTTGTTAAGGCCCTGGAAGTCAACACATAACTGGAGTGAACCATCCTTCTTCTTTTATGAAGAGGACTGATGCAGTGTAGGGGGAAGAAGTGGGCCAGATGAAACTGGTAGTCAGGTTTTTGTCAATGAAGGCCCAGAGAGCTTGCAGCTTGACTGGGGATAGTGAGTAGATGGTTCCAACAGGTGGTGTAGTACCCTATTCCAGTTTGATCTTAAGGTCATACTCCTGGTGTGGGGGGAGAGTAGATGCCTTGGCTTTGCTAAAGACATCAGCGAAGTCATGGTAGTCCTTTGGTACACCAGCCAGGTCTGGTGGAGGACTGGTAGAAGTAGACTGGGCCAGGACTGGGTCCAGTGGGCATAGATGAAGTTGGAATTGGGTAGATCCCTCTAGCTTGCAAGCACATACATATGCAGCCACATTGATCAGGGTGATAGGGGGAGCCTTCAGGGGGGTGTGAACTGGTGAGTTGACAGATGGTACAGATGGCACAGGGCCAGGGTTGGGTTGGTCAGGTAGACTGGGTTTGGGAAGACTGGTCAAGACTGGTGTGGCAGGGGGTGTCAATGGGGTTGGCATTCCTCCTGTAGATGTCCAGAAAGTTAGACTGCTCAATACCCAATCAATCAATGGATTGTAGTGGGTGAGCCAGTCATGTCCAAGGACTATCTTACATTCAGAATTCAATGGGGCTAGAAACAGGGTTACTGGGGTGACATTGCTGGTCACAAACTGAACCAAAAGATCTACTGCTTGAGTGATAACAAAACTTGACAACCCATCAAAGAGCTGGAGTTGGATAGGGGACACAGGGTGAGGGGCAAAAGAGTGTTGATTAACAAATTCTTTATCTATGAAGCTATGTATGGAACTGGAGTCCACTAGTGTATGAAACCAGGGCAAATTGTGACTGACAATAGAAACATGGGGAGTCAATGAATTTGGATTGGACAGAGCAGTTGTGTTGAGACAAGCCTCTATGAGTGCACAGCTGGAGTCAATGCAGCTCTCAGTCTGTGTGGAGTCCTGAGAGCTGCTACCTGTTTTTTTGCCTTGGGGGCAGAGCCCAAGGTTGAGGCTGGTGTTGCCTCGGAGGTGGCCACAGCACGAGCTTTGGCTTTCCTGGCTTTCTTGGGACACTTATCTGCAAAATGTCTTGTGCCCCCACAGAACATGCAAAGGTTGTTGTCTCTGCAATGCTTGTGCTCCTCTGGTGTCAGCTTGCTGTCTTTGCCCAACTTGCTTGAGTCCAGCTTTGGTGTGTTAGAGCCAGTCTGACCAGTTGAGGCAGTCTTGGCCAAGGGCTGGCTACTGGAGTTGCTATTTCCAGAGTTATTGCCAGTCTTGGGTTTCTCTTGACCAGGCTTAGACTGGTTGTTGTGACCAGGGTTGGGAGTTGACTTGTTACCAGAGGATGACCCCTGATGCTTACTGGACCACTGAATATCCTCTTTGTGCTCCCAGTAATGCATGTCAATCTCCTGAGCTAGGTGGAAAAGCTCATGCAGGGTTCTTGGTTTGCCAACCCAGCAGACCTCATCTTTGATGCAGTCAGGAAGACTGGTGTAGAAGAAGTGGTGCAGGGAACCATCACCATATCCCTGGACCTGGGAGGCCAACTGGTTGAACCTGACCATGTACTTGTTGACCCAGTGATTGTCTTTCATCTGAAGGTGGTCTAGCTGGCTTTCAGCATTGGCCACCAGGTTGTGAGGTCCAAAGGTGGTTTGAAGTTTTATGACAAACTCTTTCCAAGAGTCCATCCAATAAGGCTGGTCCTCTGGGTCTTCAGTCCCAAGTAGGTCCAGTTCAAACCACTTGAGAGCCATCCCTTTCAGGAATGACTGCATGAAGGTGACCTTGGCTTGGTCACTTTGAAAGGCCCAGGGCCAGTCCCAGAAGTTGAGTTCACACTGGATAAGAAAAGTGCACAGCTTGTTTGGGTCTGTCCCATTGAAGGTGTCCAGTTTGCACAACTTGGTTCTAGAAGAGGACTCAGAGCTGGTGCAAGCATTGTGTGTGAGAAGCTCAATGGCTTTGGTGAGGTTGTCAAGCATGGTTACACCAGGCTCAACATCATCTTCTTGGAGGGGATCTTCATCATCATTGTCCAGTTCATCTCCCAGCCCATCATTGCCAGGGCCATCATCACCAGGGTCATCACCACTGGGATTGAAGTCATCTGGTTTGTCCAGGTCCAGTTCATCATCTGGATCATTAGTGGGTGCAGGAGGTCAATTAGAAGTGGGAGTAGTGGATTTATGGGCTGAGAAACCCCTGAAGTTGTTGACTTCACTGGGCAATGCTGTCCCTAAGGACACCAGGGCAGTGGCATGGCACAAGTCAACTGCTGATGCAGAATCTGGATTGGTGGTAGTACATGCCTGTGCTGCTTGAGTTCTGGTTTGGGTAGGCATGCTGAGGGTGTGATACTGAGGTTTGGACAGAAGGGTAGTGACCCACACAAGTGTGAGTCTGAAATACTGTTAAGTCCAGGTCTTCACCAGTCCAAAGCCAGTCCAGAGTCCAGTTGGGGGTCAGAAGGTAGATGAGGAACTAGAAGGTTGGACTGTTGGACTTAGTGACTGAAGGTGCAGTGCTATTCCCTTGCATGGGCCATAGTCCAGCTGAGAGGCAGAAGTCAGAGATCAGAGAGACCAGGTTAGAAGAGACTAGATTGATTTCAGACTGAGGCTAAAACAGATTATCCTATGGCTTAAATACTAGAGGTAACCTAAGTGTAATGTAGCACTGGAGACTGGTCTGTGCAAGTACAATGGATTGGTAAGTAATGTTACAAAGAATATTATCAAGCAAAAGTATGAACAAAGGGATTACCAGGAACTGGGGCAGGACTTGTGGCTGGGCTGGGTGTTACACCAGCCCAGTACCAACTGAGCAGACAACTTGATTGGGCACTGCCTTGCAGTGCCTCATGAGCTAACATATTTCTAGGTTGAAGGGTTAAGGCTGGGACCAGGGCAAGGGTTGGGTGAGACCAGTTGAGACCAGGGTAGGGCCTGTCTAGAGTAGTCTGGACATGGTCATGACACAGAAACATGATAGCTCATGAGGCACTGCAAGGCAGTGCCCAGTTGAGGCTGGACCAGCATGGTACCTGGCCTGTCACTAGTCCTGCCCCAGTTCCTGGTAAACCTTTGTTATTACTTTGCTTGATAATATTCTATGTAACATTGTACTTACTGTACCAATCAGCTTACCAATCACTGCTGTACTTGTGCAACCAGTCTCCAGTGCAATGTTACACTTAGTTTACCTTTAGTATTTAAGCCATAGGAAGAATTGTTTAGCCTCAGTCTGAAATCAATCTACTCTCATCTAACCTGGTCTCCCTCTGACTTCTGCCTCTTGACTGGACTACAGCCCACACAAGGGAATAGTGCTGCCCCTCAGTTGCTAAGTCCAATTAGTCCAACCACCTCATATCTTGTACCCCTCTGACCCCTGACCAGACTCCAGACCAGTGATGAACCAGACTTAACAGACAACATATATATACAATATGTTTGGAGTTAGATGGTCAGAACTGTTGCACCTGCCTTATTGGGATCCCACATGCTTCATAGTTGTCAAGGCAATGCACCACTTCTTCCTCAGAGATCTCCAACACCTCTGTCATAAAGTGTTTTGTATGAATGCTGATACACAATCTGCTGGCAAAACTCATGTCAAACCCCACACTCCTAAGGAACAATGGCAAGAACTCAAGGCCAGAATTAAAGCCATCAAGAAGCACTCCTTGACAGCACTAACAAAGTTGAGGAGGGACTATATTGTTGCCCTTGCCCAAGTGAATAATGTCCTACCAGGAGTGGGTGTCAGTGGTGACTGCTTGGTGAGACCAAAGAAAGAAGAACAGACATTTGGAAAGGCAATTTATGCCCAAGCACTTATTGGCTGGGTGAGCTTATTAGCCTGTCATGAAACCATTTGATTACCCTCTTTCTCACATATACAGCTCAGTGATCCAGAAATATGCTGCCTGCACATCTTTCCTTGCCCTGTAGTGGACCTATCCTCAGCATGGTCAAATCCCATGTCAACAACTATCCTTGATCATTTGGTGTTATCAGAAGTATGGAAAGACATGGCCAGAACTACCTTACTGTCATGGGTTGTTCATGTGCCCCACAACATTGTAATCTGGGCCAGAGAAAACTCAAGGCTGACCAGTGGCACACAGCCTGTCTAGTTAATCTGGTCATCACATTATGGGGTAGCAACAATGCAAGTGAAAGGGATCCCACACTATTGTGCAACTACCTATCACTTGTGACAGCTGTCTGCTGGGCAACTACCTGCTCAACTTCTAACCAGCATGCCAAAATTGTTGAAAAGTATCTGGTATATTATGTACACAGCACTTTGCAGATATTTGGTTCTTGAGCACTAGTCTATAATAACCATGCATCTCTCCATGTGCCTGAATGCCTTTGTGCATTCAATCTGGCCCATGGTATTCTGCAGCACTTCAACATGAATTCTAGGATTGGTGAGACTTTGTCATTTATGCTGGGGGGTCAGCACTCTCAGCTAACAGGTGAGATGGAACTCACCTTGTTGAAGGCAATTTGCTGAACAAGCAACTTGAGGGCATTACTCAGCAAGACTGATGTGTTGGACTCCCTTAATGGTCTCCAAGAAATCTTTGCACAATTTTTTGTGCCCATGTCACCAAACTTTCAGAGTGATATTGAAGGCTTTGACACACATGGGAATGATGTACTGAACATTACAGAGAGCCCCAACAGGTTGCCAATGTTTTCCAATGAAACATGTATGTCTCCTCAGCTGCCTCAATGAAAGTGTTGTCCCTGAGTACTACATGTCTTATCACAATGATCCCCAACCTAGTACCTGGGTTGTCCAGTCTTGTGCACAGGAGTGGGACTTGGTCAAGGTTCAGGGGGTAACCTTCACTCACTCCTTGAAGCACATTGGAAAGAGTTGCATGCTGTTTCACCTTGCAGGTGAATCATTCCAGTTTTCAGGGGAAATTCAATGCATTTTCATACATCCACAGCACAGACAAACACCATCAAGCAACATCATGAATAAAATATTCTTTGTTGTGCACAATTTCAAGAACTTACTAGTGAGCAAGCTGTGCATGACCCATACCAACAATTCCCACTCCTCTGTATGCATCCATGTCGTAATGAGTTTTGGGGAAGAACAGGTCACATGGTCTCACCATATCATTGGTTATATTGCTGGCTGCCCATATGAGACCAAGGAACTACCAGGGAAACTCCTCATGGTATTGTCATTGAGCAAGGTCCATCTGTTGGTTCCAGGGTCTAGCAAGGATAAATGTTTATTTTTACTTTTCCACATAGGACTGAGGCAATTCAGATTTACTTGACTCATTTCAGGAATTGGCATCACCAAAATTGCAACACAACAAGATACCAATATATACAGGGATATCCAATGTAGACAGTGATGACACTGTAGAAAAAGCATGGGTATATAGTAAAATCTATGAAAACACTCTTTTACAGCAGAATGCATGTTAACACTGCCATCAAATCTGTGACATGACCTAACAACAGGGTTTGTTGTAGGCTTGCACCAAGAACCAAAAGAGGAAGAAGAGAGAAGAGGAGAGGAGATGGCCTAGATGCAGGTGGCTTTAGATCTCATAGACCCAAATGAACTAGCTTGGAGCTAGTCTGGGGATTGAGGAATGGTACTTATACTATAGTACATGTGGCAATGGTGAGGCATACATGAGGTCTGTGACATCACAGTGGAGTGGAGCATACTAGAAGGAAGACACATGGTAGCAGTGAGGCAAGGTCTAGACCAGAGTCTGGACCAAGTCTGAGGGAACAGGATAAGAAAAGAGATTAGATAAGATGAAAAGGAAAAGAGATAAAGAAGAAAAGTGTACATATTGTAACACTATCCCCTCCTTAGAAATCAACTTCCAGGTGATTGAAGGTTGGGACAGTGTCAGTGAAGTTTTCAAGGGGGCAGAAGAGGGAGTCAAAAAGAGAGGAGTCCATCCCACACAGTTTTCAAGGGGCAGAGGGGTGATGACAGTAGAAGTCCTTGATGGCAGTGGGGGCAGACTTCAGAGCAGACTCAGGTTCCCAAGTATGGTCTTCCTCATGGTAACCATTCCAATGTACCAGGAACTCAAGCCAGTTTCTTTTGAGGTGAGCGTCAGTGACATAGTCAACCTCAAACTCCTCATTGCCTTCATGCCCCACCACTGGTCCAGGGCAAGTAATGGTCTGGCCCTCAAGTGGTCCCCTGTATGGCTTAACCCATGAAACATTCACCACTGGATGGATTTTATGGGTTTTTGGGAGTTTCAACTCAACTGCATTTGGTTTGAGTGAAATGACTTTATAGCAACCAATCCATTGTTCAGTGAGTTTCCAAGAGGAACAACCAGAGAGTGAGATTCAGGAAGTTTCCAGCCAGACCATATCTCCAACAGAGTAAGTAGGTGCCTCTGAGGCTCAATGCCCATGTGAGGAGAGTAAGAATGAGTGACTGAAAAGGGAGTTTTGCCAGTAGACTCTTGGCACTTGTTGTCGTAGGACAACTGCACCACCTTTAGCCAGGATGGCCAAGTATTCTGTCTATCATTGACAAAGAGTCTTAAGGTACTGCTGAAGGTCTTGGTTGAGTCATTCAGTCTGGCCATCAATCTGGGGGTGAAAAGTGGTAGAAAGCTTAGGTTTGACTCTGAGCATCCAGCAGAGCTCTGTAGTGAAGGTACTCACAAACTGGGGTCCATGATCAGAGATGATGGAGGAAGGGAGACCATGCTGTGTCCACACATGATCACAAAAGAGTTCTGCAGTCTGAAGGGAGGAGACCTCCTTCATGGTTGGGGCAAACACCACCTCCTTAGAGAACCTCTCAATCACCACCATGACATTGTTGAAGCCTTGCACCTCTGGTAACTCCATGAAGTCAACTGAAATATCTGACCAAGGTCATTCCAGAACAGGGTTAGGGAGATGCTTCCCTGCAGGGGGAGTCCTCAAGCTTTTTGCCATCTGGCAGCAGTGGCATGCAGCCATGTATTCTTTCACAGAAGCAGTCATTCCTGGCCAGACATAGTTGTGGGAGACAAGCTCCAAAGTCTGTTTCCAGCCAGGATGCCCTGCAACAGGGGTATCATGATGCTTTTGTTCATATTAGGTGCCTGTGCACCTCAGACTGCATTTTGCCTTTGTGTTATTTCTATCTAACCCTACAGACATGTAGTGGACACTTAGCTTCACTCTAAGTGTCCTTGGTTTGCGTTTGTTTATTGTTTACATGTGTTTGTCATTTTTGCACACTTACTGCTGTGTGCCCAGTGAAATTTTCTTCAGTCTCTTACACTGGGCAAAGGTATGTTTTATGTAGTATTCTCTTGAATATCAGTCTCTTACACTGGGCACAATTGGCCTCAGATTGTGGTTATCTTAACAGCTTTTCCATGCAATGGATATGAATGGCAGGGGGAACATAGACCTTTCCTGAACAGACATAGAGGCCTTCCTGAAGGGTGGAGTTCTCTGGCTGAGGGGTGATGGAAGAGGCAGATTTCAGGGAGAGCACTAGATCTGTGTCCTCTCCTATGATTAAGGTGGACACAACCCTTGAGGAATCAAGGGGGGTGGCTCCCTGGTTGTCAGTTTTTGCTCCTTGTTTATGATCCTCCCTGTGAGACAAGGCATTGGCCTTGGCCATGGACAAGCCAGGCTTATACACCAGCTTGTAATTGAACCTGGAGAGGTATTTGGCCCATCATGCCTGGTGGCAGTCTAAGTTCTGTGCCTTCATGAAATACTGGAGGTTGGAATGATCTGTCCAGATTTCAAACTGGTAAGGAGTGGCCTCTAGACAGTGACACTGCATCTCCAAGGCACAGATGATAGTGAGCATTCCATTGTCAAAGACCTGGTAGTTGCATTTGGGGGGTGACATGGAGTGGGAGTAGTAGGTGACCAGTCACCAGAGATTATTTTCACACTTTACAGAGAGAACAGCCCCAGTGGCAAAGTCTGAGGCATCTGTTTCCAACCTGAACTCTCTATCCTGTTTGGGGAAGGTGAGGACAGGAGCAGTTGTAAATGCAAGCTTCAAGGCATCAAAGGCCTGTTGCTCCCTGGGGGCCCAAGTCCACAACTAATCCTTCCATGTAAGGTCATTAAGGGGATGGGCCATCCAAGTGAAATCTTTGATGAAACAGAAGTAAAAGTTTGCCAAGCCTAGGAAGGCTCATACTGAATGGACCTTGGTTGGTACTGGCCATTCTGTTATGGCTTTGACCTTGCTCTCATCCATTTTGACCCCATTGGTCCCCACCACCATGCCTAAGAACTTGACCTGCTTTTGTTTGAAGAAACACTTTTCTGGTTTGACAAACAGGTCATTCTCCTCCAATCTCCTTAGAACCTCCAGCACAATTCTGTCATGCTTGGCTTTGTCATCTGTCCTGGTGAAGATCATAAGATTGTCAATGTAGATGACCAGGATGTCCTCCATATCTCCAAAGATGTTGTTCACCATGTTCTGGAACATGGAGGGAGAGTTGCAAAGACTGAAGTACATGACCAGAGAGGTTCATAGGCTCCCTTATGAGTAATGAATGCAACATTCCACTCATCTCCCTCTTTAATGCAAACATTGTTATAACCCCAGTGGAGGTCCATTTTGGTGAAGAGCTTACAGCCCCTGAGTTTGTCAATGAGCTGGGATATGAGAGGGAGCAGGTGTTAACTTCACCCAGCCTTAAGG